CTTGTGCGGGCTCTGCTAAGGCACGTTAGTGAACTTGGGCCCCTCCAAACCACTCTCAAAGCAGGGCCTCACTGCTGGGTGATTTACCACTCCTTTCACTTAACCAATCATTCTTGCAACTTATTGTATAAAGAGAAGATAAATACCGAAAAAGACTGGGTTAACTAAGGCCTTAGGTGGATCCTATATGTGTATCTAATGAAAGAAACCAGTAACAAATTACTAATTTAGGTAGCAACTTTTTGTATATGTGCCAAACAGTGACTTATAAAATGATCTGTACATTTTAAAATAAACTCAATAGTCGGGCACTGAGTTTATTTCTCTTCATGCATTATCTCATTTAGATCTGTAAATAATGCTATGGGGTAAATAATGCTATGGGGTAGATATCTGCCCTTTTTACAAAAGAGGAAACGGAGGCCCAGAAGTAAATTGCCTTGTCCAAAGTCAAAAAGGTTGTAAATGACTAAACGGGATTCAAAACCAGGTCTGTCTGCTGACTCCAACATCCTGCTCTTAACCATAGATGGACAGCCGCTAGGCTAAATACAGAGTATTATTTTTAAATTTAAATTTAGTTGCCAAAATTTAAAAAAATCAGAATTTATATTAAAGTCTCTATTGCAGCACTCCAAAACTAAGATCTGGCAACACAGAGCTCCACTGGCAACTGACTGGTACTGACATACAGGGTGCTTTGATTTATTTAACCTTGCCTGTGTTGACCTCCTGAGCATTTGAGTTTGTAGCCCACCTCTGATCCACTGTAATTCTTTGCTGTCATTCTGGGGTCCTGCTAAGTCTCCTCCCTTGTTTTCATGAAACGCATCTTCAATGTTTCTCGGACAATTGCTACATTCAACACAACATACATGCCCCATTTGAACTCTCCTCTTACAGAGACACTAGAAGACTCACTGGATTATCTCTGTTGCCCCCCAGCCCACCCCCGCCTTTTCTCTGTGGATTGAGGCAAAAGGAAAAAAAACCTGTTGAAAGTATGGTCATTTACTGTCTTCACTAACCTCTACCTTGCTGGCGCGCAACTTCTAACAAGGTGTGGGTTAGGGGAAGGAAGCAAGAGGGCTGGGGCCAAGAAGGCTCTCCTCCCCACCACCCCTAACGCACGGTCACACTCCTCCCACCCTCACTTTCCATTTAGCAAAAAAAAAGAAAAGAAAGAAAGAAAACTCCCCTTTCTTTTCTTAAAAATTTATTTATTAATCTTTTAATTTTTATTGAATGTATACGTTTCCTCTTTGTTGGTCTCAGGTTTCCAGAGGAGTAACTAGGCATTCATTTTATACCGCCCATTCTGTCCTTGTCACATAAAAGCCTACAGTCAATAATTACTGAATGAATGAGGAGTCCATCTTTTTATTAAATCCACCCTCCCCGCAACTTGCTGGGGTGATTTTTCTCCTGCCAACATCATCCCGACCAAAGAGACAGGCAGAGGGAACAAATGAAATAGGGCAGGGTCGGACTGTCCCCACTCCAGGAATCAGCCCGTCGCAGCTGCTAAAGCTTGGGTAACGCCTGGCCTGGGTGCCCCCTTTAATAGGATGGCCGAATCATGCCTACTCACTACACACGGCTGCGGGGTAGGCGGCACTAAACAACACACAATACAGTGCCTTGCAAACGGCAGCGGTGAAGAATCTCGTCTCCAGCGCACGTCGATTTCTTGGCACCCCCACCCAGCAGGTGGAGCCCTCGCTCCGAGCCCGCGACTTCCCTCCACCGCCTCTTTCTGGATGCCCTCTTCTCACTCACCTCCCCGGCGCCCCGAGCTGTTCTCGGGGCTCACGTAGAGAACCGACTTTCTTTTTCGCAGCTTCACCTTCTCGTGGGAGCGGCTCTGGAGACGGCGGAAAAAGAGGCTGCTGTCGCTGGGCTCTCGCTCCATACCGCTGGTGCTTTGGGGATCGGGGCCACCACCTTCCTTCAGGAGGTAGGCTGTCGTAGCGCGCACTGCTTTTGGGCTCACTAAGTTTGGCTTCTGCGAGCAGCCGTCCGGGGCAGACGCGGAGGGAGCTGGGAAAGGGTAACTTTCGCGAACTCCCAGCGGTGGTGATTTCACCGTCGGGGAGCTGCAGTTTTGTTCCGGGCTACTAAACTTTGCCTAGCGCTTGCCCGCACTTTGCCATAGGCATTTGCCTGTGTTGCGGAGATGCTGCCCGCTCCGGTTTTGAAGTCTCTGGGCCCCGGGATCCGGAAACTGCTGGGATGAGCGGAAATCATCGCCCTTTGCAGGGTCGGGCGGGAGGCGGGGTCAGTGAGTTGGAGTGTGAGCCGAACGGTGGGAGAAGTCTGAATGGTAATGGTGATAATACAGGCATACCTCGTTTCATTGCGCTTCGCTTTATTGCTCTTCGCAGATATTGCGGGCCTTTTTTTTTTTTTTTTAAACATCTGGCAACCCTGAGAGGAGCAAGTCCATCGGCGCCATTTTCCCAATAGCATTTGTTCACTTTGTGTGTCAGTGTCACGTTTTGGTAACTCGCAATATTTCATACTTCATTATTGTTATATTTGTTATGGTGCTCTGTAATCAGTGATCTTCTGTCTTACGATTGTCATTGTTTTGGGCTGCCACAAACTATGCCCACATTAGAAGACATTGGACTGAATTGATAAATGTTTGCATTCTGACTGCTTCACCGCTGGCCCTTCCTCTGGTAGTCTCCTTTTCTTAGACCTTCCTATTTGCTGATATACAACAATACTGAAATTAGGCCAGTTGATAATCCTACAATGGCTTGTAAGTGTTCAAGTGAAAGGAAGAGTCGCATATCTCTCACTTTAAATCAAAAGCTAGAAATGATTAGACTTAGTGAAGAAGGCCTATCGAAAGCTGAGATAGGCCGAAAGCTAGGCCTCTTGCGCCAAACAGTTAGCCAAGTTGTGAATGCAAAGGAAAAGTTTTTGAAGGAAATTGAAAGTGCTACTCCTCTGAATACCCGTATGATAAGAAAGCGAAACAGCCTTATTGCTGATATGGAGAAAGTTTTAGTGGTCTGGATAGAAGATCAGACAAGCCACAACATTCCCTTAAGCCAAAGTCTGATACAGAGCAAGGCCCTAACTCTCTTCAATTCTATGAAGGCTGAGAGAGGGGAGGAAGCTGCAGAAGAAAAGTTTGAGGCTAGCAGAGGTTGGTTCAAGAGGTTTAAGGAAAGAAGCCGGCTCAGTAACATAAAAACGCAAGGTGAAGCAGCAAGCGTTGTAACAGATCAGTTGCTTCTTATGAATGAGCAAAGAAAGTGGTTTCTTGAGATGGAGTCTACTTCTGGCGAAGATGCTGTGAAGATTGTTGAAATGACAACAAAGGATTTAGAACATTACATAAATTTAGTTGACAAAGCAGCAGCAGGATTTGAGAGGATTGACTCCAATTTTGAAAGAAGTTCTGCTGTGGGTAAAATGCTGTCGAATAGCATCGCATGCTACAGAGAAATCCTTCGTGAAAAGAAGAGTCAGTGCAAGCAGCAGACCTCATTGTTCACTCATTTTAAGAAATTGCTGCAGCCACCCCAGACTTTAGCAACCAGCACCCTGATTGGTCAGCAGCCATCAACATCGAAGCAAGACCCTCCACCAGCAAAAAGATTACGACTCACTGAAGGCTCAGATGATGGTTAGCATTTTTTTTAGCAATAAAGTATTTTAAAATTAAGGTATGTACCTTGTTTTTTAAACATAATCACTCATTTAACAGACTTCAGTACAGTGTAAGCATAACTTTTATAGGCACTGAGACACCAAAATCATTTGTGAGACTTGCTTTATTGTGAAATTCTCTTTATTACAGTGGTTTAGAACCAAATCTGCGATATCTCCGAGGTATGCCTGTAATGATAATTGTAAACATGTTTGGGTGACCACACAATGACAGTTTGTTGTACAAGGCGGGCAGGGTAGCCTGTTGTAGACATATGGACAATGAGGTTTCAAAACATGAAATGACTTGGTCAGCGCCAGCCAGCTAGTGGCAGAAGAATAACTTTCTTATTATTGTCATGGTTTAATGATCAATTTTCCAAAGGGCAAATAAATGGCTCTTTTTCTTTCTTTTTAACATTTAGCAGACATTGATTCAACGGATGCTTAGTGGTGTCATTTATCTGAGTTAATGGTAGAGTCCAGGAGAAAACAGGTTTTTTCTTTCCCAGATTAGTAAAAAGTAAATTACATTTTAGTGATTAAGGCAAGCTAGTTTCTAGTATCAGTTCTGCCCCTAATGTTTTTGTGACGTAATGTTTGTGATGTAAATTGTTTGCTCTGCTGTCCTCGTTCATAAACACCTACCTGGTTTCTCCAGAGGCTAAGATGTTGGCAAGGATTGTAACTTTTCAAGAAGTGTTAGAGTCTTAACTCCTCTATTAGAAGTAAAACCGGCCAAATCTCTGTTACATTTTTGTCAAAAATGGATGGCAAGTGATTTATACTTGATGTCTACATGTACTTAGTAAGGGATCAAAGGGAACTCATAAAATTTTAGCCTGTGTTTTTAAAAAAAGTATTGCTTTTAATGATACATATTGCCAAAAATATGAGATAATAAAAATGGGCTAATAATGAAAAGTAACATTTCTCTATCTCCTACTTCCAGATGGGATTGGTATGCTTTGCAGGCATAAAGACTGGCTTGGCCTTGTCCCACTTCTGCCCTTTTAAATTATCCATTTTAAACCAGTGAGAACATTCTATAACAGGATTTGGCTTTGTTTTACACTATCCCCTAGCCCTCTTTTCCATACTTCCTAAATGTATATATTCCATTTTTAGTTTAATCAGTAAGTGATATTTACATATTATGACAAAAGCACTGTTCACTCTGGAGCAAAGTAGTAACATTAAATCTTTAAAAAAAAATCTTGTTCTAACTTATTGCTTTGTTTTCCATTTACTTTGCACACAGATCTGGAGAGATTTCCTGAGTGGAGAATAATTTTTCAAAACCATCTTTGCAACGTGTGGCATTTATTGAAAAGATGTTTAGGAGATTGACTTTTCCACAACTACTTTTTGCTAGTATCCTTGGAATTGCTGGAGGAATATATATTTTTCAACCGATATTTCAACAAAATTCCAGAGATCAGAAGGAATTAAAAGAGAAATTGAAATTGGCAGAGGAATCAGAAGAGAAGAAAAGTTAATACTACGTGCAGTTAAACTGTAATTGCTTAAATTTTCTTTGAAATTATACATTGATTATAAGTAGTCTTGTAAAAACTTCTCAAAATATATTTTAAACATAAATAAATCATAGATGATGATTTTTAAAACTAGCACTGTCAATCTCAATATTTACTTTTATACGTCTTTTCACCAGGACAGATTAGTAATTCTCTTTTAAGCAAAAATGAATGTCTTTAGGGATATTTTGTTTCTTAGTAGACATTTATACAGCATCATGGGTAACAGTTTAGGCTATATCTATACAGGAGCTGAGTGAGAATGGTGTTTAACTCTTTGTAGATGGTGTGAGCCAAGTTAACCATCTCGGGCAGAATGCCTCTCAATTAGCCTACAGTGAGCCTTCATGAGTCTTTCGACTCCAGCCCTTTCTCATCCCAGGAAGAGTAGAGAAGTACATTGAGAATTGGGGTGGCTCAGATCAAATGGTTTTAGAGGGGGTATATGGTATATTATATACGGTGGCAAAGATGACACAAATCTATTTAATACAAGCAAATTTGCATTCATAATGGTGGTTAGGGAGGAGTTAATATGTTATGAAGCTATTATTCATATAGTTTTGAGGTTGTGTAGAACTGATACTTTTTTGTTTTTTTTTGTATTTTTTATATTAGTTTTTAACCTAACACTCTTAAACTTGATATTTTCAATGACAGCTACAAATGTAATCACATATGTACAAAGTGCTTTTTAAGAACTAAACTCATTTAAAAAAATAAACTCATTTTTACTGATTTTCTTGAAAGTAAATGCATTATAACTTAATCTGAGCTATTCACGTTGAATGGACAGTATGGGTTTTTTTTTTTTAAGTAAATGAAGAAAGAATTATAAAAGTAGTATGTTCACCAGAACAAACAATACAAAAGTGAACACAGAACCATGCATACATTGATTTAATCAGCACATTTAACAGTTTAGGGAGCTTTTGAGACTTTTAGGCATATAAACTATATAAAAATTTTAATATACTAATATCAACTATCTGACAGGCTTTTTTTTTTCTAAGATTTTATTTATTTATCTCTAGAGGGGAAGGGAAGGAGAGAGGGAGAGAAATATCAATATATGGTTGCCTCTTGTGCATCCCCTGCTGGGAACTGGCCTGCAACCAGGCATGTGCCCTGAGTCAAACCACGATCCTCTCGTTTGTAGGCCCACGCTCAAGCCACTGACCTACACCAGCCAGGGCTCTGACAGGTTTGTTTTTGCTTGGGATTCTGTGAATGTGTGTCTTGTCCTTGTGGGCCCAGTCTCAAGGAGCAGCTTCTGTGTGAGGTAAGGCAGAGGAGTATAGGGTTGAGAGAGAGAGAGAAACTGAGAGTAAACAGAATTGTAAACTTAAGCTCAATTGTGGCAAATAACACATCTTTTCACACTCTGTTGGTTTTGAGCATGCCATGTGGTCAAGCCCAAAGTCAAAAGCAGGAACATAGACTCTTCCCACAAGGTAAGTAAGTTACATGATGATGGGTAAGCAAATATATAATCCTATTATAGCCAAGGAATAATCGTCTAACATCAAGTTAAATCGAATTGCTTTTGATCTTCCTTTGGAGAAGGGTGCATTAGTTTAGTAGGATGAATTGATTTTTTTTTCCAGTAAAGAGTGCAGCCATTCAAATCAAAGCCAGAAGGAGGTACCACTTCACATACATTAGTATGATTGGAATCAAAAAGAAAGTTTGGTGAAGATGTGGGGAATTAGAACCCTCGTTGATACACTGCTGGTGGAAATGTAAAACGTTGTAGCTGCTGTGGAACAGGTTGATGCTTCTTCAAAAAAGGTAAACCTAGTGTTACCATATGACCTAGCCATTCTACTACATATATATCTGAGAGAAATAAAAACACGTCCACACAAAAGTTTGTACACAAATGTGCATAACATTATTATAGTAGCCAAAAAGTGGAAATAGCCTGTATGTCTATCAGTTAATGAATGGATAAGTAAGTTACGGTATAGCCACACTATAGAATATTACTCAGCCTTAATGAGGAATGAAATACTGATATGTACTACAACTTGGGTAAAACTTTGAAAACATAAAAGCAAGGTGTGTATAAGAGTAATTCTATTTGGCCTTGGCTGGTGTAGCTCGGTGGATTGTGCATGAGCTGCGAACCAAAGGGTTGCCAGTTTGAATCCCTGTCAGGGCACATGCCTGGGTTGCAGGCCACGTGAGAGGTAACCACACATTGATGTCTCCCTCCCTTCCCCTCTGTCTAAAAATAAATAAACTCTTTAAAAAAAAAAGAAGAGTGATTCTATTTGTATGACGTGTCCAGAATGGGCAAAAGCATATAGAGACAAAGTAGAGTAATGGCTGCCAAGGACTAGGGGAGAAAAGGGATAGGGGATGGATATAAGGGAAGGGACTGGTAGTGGATATAAGGTGATGAAAATGTTCTAGAATTAGATAGAGGTGAGTATACATCCTTTTGAATACCTTAAAAAGCACTGGATCACACACTTTAAGAGGACCATGAATCTATTAGCTACCACCACAGATCCCTATTAGTCGAGACAGTCTGGCTGCACTCCGCCTTTGCTTCCCAGCGTAGTAGTTGTCCTGCCGCCTGCTGTTCGAAAATTCTATTATTCCTGACCGATTCTAGAGAGCCATGTTGCTGCAGCAGCTTCTATCGATTTCAGCCCATAAACAGTCACGACCACTGAGTGTTTCAAATTGGCAGTGGTCTCCCCAGCAGTCCGTTTTCATCCTCACCAGAGCTTCTGGGAAAGGAATATCAAGGCCTTCCAGTTAACAGAATCGGGGTGGTTTCTCCAGTCTCATTATAAATCCACGCTAAGTCCAAAACCAGGAGTGTAAGGAGAAGAAAAAGAGAGGGGAAAGTCAAGGCAATGGGTTATCGAGTGGGCCACTAGAGTTGATCCTGGGGGATTTTCTGAATAGACTTTGACATGTTTTTCTAAATTACTATTCTGAAGTAATTTTGGACTTAGAGAAAAGGGGAAAAATAATAAAAGGAATGTTTACATACCTCCTATCCAGATTTCACAAATGTTAAAATTTACGGTGTTCGAGTTAATTTTCCTCTCATCTTTCCATATTTATGTATGTGTGTTTACATATACAAGCACCCACATTATTTTTCTAAACCCATGAGAATAAGTTGCTCACATGATGCTTTTTACCCCTAAGTATTTCAGTTTGCAAGTCCTGAAAACAAGGATATTCTCTTTCCTAGTTACAGTATAATGATCAAGATCAGGACGTTAAGATTAATACAATATTATTATCTAATCTCAGATTTTATCCAAATTCTACTGAGTCCCATTAATGTTCTTCTGAGCAAAAGACAATTTTTTTTCTTGCTCTGTGATCCAATCCAGGACCACATTTGAGTTTGGTTGCCACGTCTCTGGTTTCATTTATTCTGGAGCAGTTCCTCAGTCATCGCCTTTCATGACATCGGCACTTTTTTTTAGGGACACTGGTTTATTTTATAAAGTGTTTCTTAATTTGGGTTTGTTTAATGCTTCTGCATGATTCCATAGATTCAGGTTATGCATTTCTGGTAGGAATATTTTAGAAATGATGTGTCAGTATGATTTTCAGATTCCTATTTTATTCCATGTGTTACAATCTATGACTAGCAGCAGGCCGACTGCATGATTTGTGGGGCCCAATGCAAAATCGAAATGCAGGGCCCCAGGTGCGGATGAGGAGGTTAGTCTCCTCACGGGTCTACCACTCCAACCACAGCAAATCCCAAGGGACTGCAACCTCCGCGCCCGGAAATTCTTCATTCCTGGGTGTTAGTGAAAGGGAAGCCCCTGATGCGTGCCACAGGGAATGTCTTGTGGCACTGACTTTTTGCCCATCTTCCATGGTGCTATGGGGCATGTACCCAACCTTTACTCCTCCTGCACTCATGCCCCAGTGGAAGGTGCTGGTGGAATGTGGGCTTCCATCAGCCAAGGTGACCTAGTTCATGCCCTGGAGCAAGGCCGTGAATGCAAGGCTGGCCGAAACCCAGGGGCCCAGGGGTGAGGAGTGGGCAGTTATAGGAGTCAGAACCATGTGTGAGCAGACTCCAAGCCCCCAGCATGTTTTATTGTGCCATCAGATTTCACTTATAAAACATGGATTTAAAGATGAAATTATCAAGAATTCTATGATGGTAACTCCAGAGCACTAAATTCTGAGTGCAGAGCCCTGTGTGACTACAAAGTGCATGACCACAAAGCCAATCCTGACTGCCACTATAGTGATTTATTTTGATGTTAAGATTGTCCCAGATTTGGCCAGTTGGAGCCCTTTCAAACTGGCTACTGATCCTTTTTGTAAAAAAAATATTTTTTTAAAATTTTATTTAACTTTTTAGCCAGGGGAGACTACAAATGCAGTTTCCCACTACCACAAATCATGCAGTCAAGTTTCCCACATTTGGGGAAACCACAGGGGTCAGCGCATTCGAAATGCAGTGGATGTGCTGGGAAGACCACTTGCTCAGTCACAGTATCTCTCCTGCCAGGTGAGTATAATGTCTTTTTAAACAAATGTTTATTTTGTATATGAAAAGTAATATTAAACATTGTCTAAGAATTGTGTTCAGTTTAACAAATACAAAACAAGATTTCTAAAAATTGCAATAGGTATAAAATATTTAAGAATATCCCTTGACAACCACAGTGTTCAGAGTGGTCATTTTTGAAAAATTATGTTAATATAGCTTAAAAGCAACAATATATTCACAGTCCTAATAAAAACAGGTAAGTCCTTAGCCGAGGAGCAGCTGTCTCCGGGGAGGGACCCTACATTCTTCCAACGGGTGCATGTCGTTCTTTGATCACTTCCTTACTTTCTGTCGCATTTTTTTCTCTCCTAGACCAATTTTTTTTGAAAATGAAAACAAAATTCACACAAAAAAATTAACTGTTAACCTTTTAAAGTTGTACCGACCTGTAGCATTTACTACATTCAGAGAGTCGTGCAGCTCTCACCTCTATCCAGTTCAGGACATTTTTGTTTCCCCAAAAGAAGCTCCTTGTGCCACAGCAGTCCCTCCGCGTTCCCCATGTGCCCAGCCCCTGGCAACCAGTCTGCTTTCTGTCTCTGTGGATTTGCCTCTTCTGTATGTTGCATTTAAATGGAATCATACATGCTGTGACCCATTGTGACTGGCTTCCTTTACTTAGCATAATGTTTTCAAGGTTCATCCATATTGTAGCATGTATCAGTACTTCAGTTACCTTGGTACTCATCGGCTGCAGAACTCCTCAAACCTGGTACTTGTTGCATTTTGACGAGAAAGAAATGTTTCAACACTCAGACCTTGCTTGGGGCTCGTTGCACTTGCTAGAACTTGTGTGAGTCATAATGCTGCCCCGAAAAAAAAAATGCTTTATCACTTGTTGCTTGCCTGCCACAAGTTCTGGAACTAATTAATGAGTGCCAAGGTACCACTGTTTATACTTTGTATAGCGAAATAATACTCCATTGGATGTATATACATTTGTTTATTTGTTTATCCACTGATGGACATTTAGGTTGTTTTCACCTTTGATATTGTAAATAGTGCCTCTATAAACATTCAGGTGCAAATATTTGTTTGAATACCTGTTTTTAATTTTTGGGGGGCACATTTCTAAAAATGGACTTGCTGGGGCATATGGTAATTCTCTGTTTAACTTTTCGAAGAATTGCCTAATTATTTTCCAAAGTAACAGCATCATTTTGCATTCCCATTGGCAACGTACAAGGGTTCCAATTTCTGCACATCCTCACTAACACTTATTTTTCTTTTTCAAACAATTATTTATTTATTTTTGGGAGAGAGGGGAAGGGAGAATGAGGGAGAGAAACATCGATGTGCAAGAGATACATCAATCGGTTGTCTTTTACATGCCCCCAACTGCGGACCTGGCTCATAACCTGGGGAATGTGCCCTGATCAGGAATAGAACCAGTGATACTTCAGTTCACAGGCCAGTGCTCAATCCACTGAGCCATACCAGTCAGGGTTCATTTTTCTTTTCTTAAAAAAAAAAAAAAAGTTATGGCCAACCTAGTGGGTGTGAAGCAGTATCTCATTATGGTTTTGATTTACATTTCCCTAAAGACTAAGACATTGAACATCTTTTCATGTGCTGGTTGACCATTTTTATGTTTTCTTTGGAAAATGTCAGTGGAAGTCCTTTGCCCACTTTTTAATTGGGTTGTTTGTCTTCTTTGTCGTTGAGTTGTAAGAGCGCCTTATACAACCTGATACTACATTCTTATCAGGTATATGGTTTGTAAATATTTTCTCCTATCCCGTGGATTGTATTTTACTCTTGATAGTTTTTTTTTAATGTACTTTTAAAATTACACATGGCTTTTTCTGGGAAGTCTGGATTTGATGTCATTTATCTGTGTTCAGTAGCAGGCTTTACCTTCCTTGCCAGGGGTTTTATCTCGCCGCACTGAAGTTAACTGCTTACTAGGTCTTTCAAGTTCCCTAAGGCCAGAGACCAACTTATCTCATTCATTTTTGCATTTCCAGTACCTAATACTTGACTCACTGAGTGAATAAATGGGCCATAGTACCATTGTCTTTTTTTTCTGAATGTGAAATCTTTTATTTTCACTAAATCATTTGTCATCCACTAGGAATGTTCTGTCATATGATCATAGGTTAACTGGGAATATTTTAGTGGTTAACTGTTGGATCTATTTTACTTTATTTTTTAGTATGAAATTTAAAAGTTTTAAATTTAATTTAATTTTAATTGTTGTTCAAGTACAGTTTTCTGCCTTTTGCCCCCATCCCAGCCCATCCCCCCAGCCCTCCCCACCTTCCTCCCTTTCCCACCCCCCTCCATGTTATTGTCCTTATGTCCTTTATACTCGTTCCTGCAAACCCTTCCTATTTCCCCCTGAAATTCCCTCCCCTCTCCCCTCTGGTCACTGTCAGCCTGTTCTCAATTTCAGTGTCTTTGGTTATATGTTCATAGCAGCACAATTTTCAATAGCCAAGTGCTAGAAGCAACCTAAGTGCCCATCAGCAAATGAATGGATCAAAAAACTATGGTACATTTACACAATGGAATGCTACACAGCAGAAAGAAAGAAGGAGCTCCTACCCTTTGCAACAGCATGGATGGGACTGGAAAACATAATGCTGAGTGAAATAATCCAGGGGGTGAAAGACAAATACCATATGGTCTCACCTTTAACAGGAATCTAAACACTGTCTGTTTTCTGATCCACTTGGTAAACTCCTGGTGACATCCCTAGCCGCATGCAGAAGGGGGCATCTTCCAATATCTTATTAGCCATTCGCAGGTGCTGCATTGTTGGCCACCCCGCGTCTTAGCTGATCAGTGACTCCCAGTGCTGTTTCTTTCTCTACAGGTCGGCATGGGGCCACTTTTCCTGCCTTACCCTCAACCAACAGCAGTCTGTTGGCCCTTCTGTCAATGGGAGGACATTCCTTGAAACCATCACCCTATGGCAAAATCTGTTATTCCTTACTCTGAGATCACTGTGATATAGCTGCCTGGAAATACTAGATTGAATGTATATTCAATATCTGGCAATGTCATATGGTTATTCTACATGTGATTTTGTAAATTAGGCACACATCTGAGAAGGTAATGGTACTGAGATCCAAACTCCAAGTAGTTACTGATTGGAAGGATGATGGAGTGCGCAGGTGGGTGGGCAGCTGGAATTTGTGGTGCAAGTAGAGGCAGATCGGTGAGATAGAACAGATGAGAGGAGAAACTGGACTAGGGCTTCCAGTCATTTTGCAGTGTTTAAAAGTGGAATTATTTGGTTCTGAAGTGCTTTGCCTGAGAGTCCACGGAGGTGGGCCCAAGGCCATTGCATAGACACGCCCAGACCTCTGGAGGAGAAATTTGGCTGCCCCTGAGTGGGAACCTGGTGCCCCAAATCTGTCCCCAGTTGCAAGTCCCTGCAGGCCCACACAAGGTGTTGGGAGAAGGAAGCGCTGGGGGGCAGCAAAGGCTCACAGATTTCTCCTTACTCGTGTGTGTGTGTGTGTGTGTGTGTGTGTGTGTGTGTGTGTGTGTGTGTTGCTTTTTCTTTTTAAAAAAACGAATTGCTCTAACACTCTCTTAGAAATTTAATTTAGAGTTATTTTATAATCAGAACTAGGTTGCACGACCAGAAACCCCGTTTGTCATTTTCTTCCAGAAATACATGTACTTCCCCCCCTATCATTTCCAAAAATGCCAGAGCTTTCCCTTGTCCTAGGAAGGCCATGCCCAGGCCTACTGAAGAGAAGCCGGCGGGGCGGGATGGACCGCGGCAGAGCTGGACGCCGAAGCACAGCCGGCCCTAGAGGAGCCCGCGGGGCTTCAGCGACCCCGGGCGGGCAGACTTTGCTCAGCACTTCTGGCTGCCAGGTGGAGACACTGATCTGATGCCCTACGAAACACTTTTAGAAAATAGCTTTTGGAGGAGAAGATTTGTTTAGAGTCACCAAATCATACTTCGAAGCGCGCGCGGATTCTGGAGCAGTTTGTAAAAGTCACCCTGCGTCCTAAACGAAAACTTGTCCTAAGGTTTTGCGCCTTCCAGGAAGGGGCAGTGGAGACCTGGCTGGGGCCAAAGGAGGCGAGCGGGACCTTTCCGTGGCTCAGAGGGCCACCCAGCAGGGGCCGCGGGTCTGCGAGCTGCGCCGGAGGCGGCGCCCGCCCACCACCCGCGCGGAGCCGGGCGCGGGGGAGGGGGTGCTCCCCGAGGTGACAGGAGGAAGCCGGAGGTGGAGGGTGAAGAGGAGGTCCCGCCCCACCTCGCTCTCCTTTACGGGAAGTGAAGTGGGGCCAGACGGAAAATACCCGCCAAGGACCCAAAAAAGGACCGCAGCAGGTTGCCGCAGTGTGCGAGCGGGCAGAGCAGCGTGGGGACGGCGAGCCGAGCCAGGTGAGGCGGGCGGCTGCTCCCAGGCGGGGAGGCGCGCCCGGGCCACCTGCGCCCGCCGCGTTCCGCTTCATCCCGGAGGCTGAGCCGGGCAGCGGGCGCCTGGCGCGTCCGGCCCTGGGGCTGGGCTGGGGGCTTCGGCTTCTTCTCTCCCCGCCTCCGGGCAGCTGAGCTAGCCAGAAAAGTTGCTTTGCTGCTCCCAGGTCCTGGATGGCCATCGCGCAGACCCCACGATGGGTTGTCATCGGGATGGGGGTCTGCTTTGGCGCGAAGCGCTGATGCAGTGTAGTCCCAGGTTGGGGTGGGAAGCTGAGGTCAACTGTGGGTGGCATCCAGGTGCGAGGGTCCCCAACAGAGGGGGAGGAAACTTCACTGGGCGGAGACGAGGAAGGTCCCAGGCCGCCAGCACTGACCTCTAGTGTTTTCCTTCCTCTTGCTGATTTCGGTTGAATTATTGAACATTTTTACATCACCTTTGTTGGTCTTGGTGTGGACAGCAAACCGGAGCAGTGGGAGAGGGTTCTCCCTTCTTCTGTCAGTCAGACAGAACACTTTACCTGGCAGTCGGGTCCTCTGGTATTGACTGGTTTTAGTACTGATGCGATGACGGATTTCAGTAACTATTGCTAAAGGCTTGTCTGTGTCCCAACGGATCACGGATTACACAAAGGCCTGAAGAGAAGGCAATCTTGTGAGCCCTTGACTTTGCCTTCCCGGCCTCTGGTTCCTGCTGGCCACCTGGCCACATGGCCTCAGAATCTTCTGCCACAGGGCGCTCTTCCTTAGCTAACAGCTGTTTTTCCTGTACTGGGTGGATTCCCACTGTATGGTTGGCTCATCAGTCACATGTTGGGAGGGGTGAGGAGTACTGTGCCTTAAAAGTTTTCTGTAATTATTGCTGATGTAATTTGTTGATGCTTCACTGTTCCTGGTCCTTTTTTTTTCCCCCCCTTCTTAGAAACTTGCTTGGGGTGGGGCACAGTCTGAAATACAGGGTTTCTGCAGGTGGTTGGAAATAAAAAAGGTTAATGTAATGCTGAAAGAACTTGACTGAGGATCGCTCTCCTCTGAATTTTATATTGCTTTTATTCACACTTTCTTCCTTTCCTTCTTTCTCCCTCCCTCCTTCCCTCCCTTAATTTTCATGGCCTGCTTTGCTGTGAATTTTAATGAAGTATAATTAATTTATTTTTCCTTTTGTTGCTTATGCTTTCGGTGTCAAATCTAAGAAAGCATTGCCATATGTCAACTCATAAAGATTTATGTCTGTTTTCTTCTAAGAGTTTTATAGTTTTAGCTTCAACATTTCAATCTTTCACCCATTTTAATTTCTATGAACAGTATGCGGTTGGGCTCCAAATTTATCCTTTTTCATATAGATATCCAGTTCTCCTGATACCATTTATTGAAAAGACTATTTTCTCACTTTGAATGGTCTTGGTGCCTCTGTTGAAAAGCAATCGACTGTAAATGTGAGGGTGTATGTTTGATCTTTAAATTCTCCCCTGTTGATCTATATGTGTTGCTCTTCCTACTCTTATTCTAGTGCCATACTGCCTTGATTACTGTAGCCTTGTAGGAAGTTTTGAAATCGAGAAGTGTGAGTCCACTTTGTTCTGTTTTTTAAGATTATTCTGGATCCCTTGAAATCCCATATGAATTTTAGGATCCTCATCTTCTCAATATCTGTTGCCATGGTTTAATAACAGATGCGAGGGTTTCGTAGTGTGCAACAATCTGTAGGAACCAGACTCTTGATTTTTCCAGTCCAAACCTGCTTTTCTCTTAGTCTTCCCATCTCAGTCAGTAGCATTTTTCCCAGATGCTCAGGCTAAACACCCAGGAGTCAACCCTGGTTCTCTCCTTTCTCTCATTTCCACGTCCGATCCCTCAGAGAATCTCATTGGTTCTTCTTTGAGAGTATATGCAGGGTGATAACCATTTCTCAGCACTTCCACTGACACCATCAAGTTTCTATCATTTCTGTCACCTGGGTCACTGCAAAAGCCTCCTACAGGCCCCCCGGCTGCCACCCTCACTGCTCTGCAGTCTGTTCTCAGCGCAGCAGCTCGAGTTACTCACTCCACTGATCAAAACTCTCCCAGGGCTTTTTACCTCAGAAGAAAAACAAAAGTCTCATCATGGGCTGGCTACAAGCCCTCACATGGCATATGGCTTCATCTCTTACTGCCTTTTCCGTTGCTTACTCTGCTTTAGCCAGGCACACCTCAGGGCCCTTGCACTTGCTGTTTCCTTTGTTTGGAATGCTCTTCTCCCAGTGTCTGCATGGTTTTCGCACTCATTTCATTCAGGTCAAAGGTCATTTCTGTTTTATATGCCTTCTTGAACCATCCCATCTAAAATAGTATTTTTCACCCCTCCCATCATTTTCTTTCCCCTTATCTGGCCTTATTTTTCTTTAGAGTATCAATAATACGGTCATCTCTCTCTCTCTCTCTCTCTCTCTCTCACACACACACACACACACACACACACACTGTATTTATCTCCAACTGATAGGCTAAACTCCATGAATGTCAGAAATTTTTCTTTTTTTTCTTTTTTAAATATATTTGACTGATTATGCTATTACAGTTGTCCCATTTTCCCCTCTTTACTCCCAGCCTGCACACCCTTGCCCACCCACATTCCCCCCTTTAGTTCACGTTCATGTGTCATAAGTTCTTTAGCTTCTACATTTCCCATACTATTCTTGCCCTCCCCCCTGTCTATTTTCTACCTACCATTTATGCTACTTATTCTCTGTACTTTCTCCCCCCTTCTCCTCCTCCCACTCCCCTATTGCTAACCCTCCATGTGGTCTTCATTTCTGTGTTTCTGTTCCTGTTCTAGTTGTTTGCTTAGTTTGTTTTTGTTTTGTTTTAGGTCTGGTTGTTAATAATTGTGAGTTTGCTGTCCTTTTAGTATACATGTTTTTATCTTCTTTTTCTTAGATAAGTCTCTTTAACATTTCATAAAATAAGGGCTTGGTGATGGAACTCCTTGAACTTGACCTTATCTGAGAAACTCTTTATCTGTCCTTCCATTCTAAATGAAAGCTTTTCTGGATAGAGCAATCTTGGATGTAGGTCCTTGCCTTTCATGACTTGGAATACTTCTTTCCAGCCCCTTCTTGCCTGTAAGGTCTCTTTTGAGAAATCAGCTGACAGTCTGATGGGAACTCCTTTGTAGGTGACTGTCCCCTTATCTCTTGCTGCTTCTAGAATTCTCTCCTTCATTTTAATCTTGGCTAATGTAATGATGATGTGCCTTGGTGTATTCCTTCTTGGATCCATCTTCTTTGGGACTCTGAGCTTCCTGGACTCCCTGGAAGTCTATTTCCTTTGCCAGATTGGAGAAGTTCTCCTTTATTATTTGTTCAAATAAGTTTTCCACTGGTGGCTGTTCCTCTTCCCCTTCTGGTACCTCTATAATTCAGATGTTGAAACATTTAAAGGTGTCCTGGAGGTTCCTAAGCCTCTCCTCATTTTTTTTGAATTCTTGTTTTTTTCTTCTTTTCTGTTTGGTTGGTTCTTTCTTCCTTCTGGTCCACTCCATAGATTTGAGTTCCAGTTTTCTTCCCATTACTATTGGTTCCCTGTGCATTTCCCTTCATTTCACTTAGTGTAGCCTTCATTTTTTCATCCAATTTGCGACCAAATTCAACCAGTTCTGTGAGCATCCTGATCACCAGTGTTTTGAACTATGCATCTGATAGGCTGGCTATCTTTTGGTCGCTTAGTTGTATTATTTCTGGAGCTTTGATCTGTTCTTCCGTTTTAGCCATTTTTTTTTTTTTTGGTCCTGTTAAGTGTGAGGGGTGGAGCCTTAGGTGTTCTCCAGGGCGGGGCAACCCACGTGGCTGGGTTGTGATGCTGCATGTCGGGGAGGGGTCTGAGAGGGAACAATGGTGCTTGCTCTGTTGTTCAGACCTCAGTCAGACCTCAGTCCTTTCCAACACTTCCCCCAGGCAAACTGGGCCCTTCTGGTGCTAGTTTCAGGGTGGGTGGGCTTGTGTAGGTTCTAGGACCCCATAGGTCTCTCCAACAAAGTCTCCTGTGAGGCTGGGAGTTTCTTTTGGCACCTCAACCCCCATAGGTGTTTTCAGTCGGTGTTTTGAGGCTTTATTTCCTGGCACTGGGACCCTGGGTTGTGCGGTCTGTCTCTCTCACCAGTTTTGCCTGGTTTATCTGTGCACAAATGTGGGACTGCCCACCTTGTACACTGTGCCTTGCTTGAGAATCGCTGCCCCATGCCCGGAGTCTGCCAGCTACTGCTTTTTTTTGCCGTGACCCCCTCTCCATAACACCCAACTCCACCCTTCCTACTGGTCTGGATAAATGTGTCTATTTTAACTCCTTGGTTGTCAGACTTCCATACAGTTCAATTTTCTGTCAGTTCTGGTTGTTTTTTTTTTGTTTGTTTCTAAATTTTTGTTGTCCTTATTCTGGTTGTGCAAGGTGGCACAGTGTGTCTATCTATACCTCCATCTTGGCTGGAAGTTGAGGAATTTTTCTTGTTTACTGTGGTGTGCATAGCATTTAGAATGGCTTCTGGCACATAGTAAGTACTCAGAAATTATTGAATGATTGAAAAGGGAGTGGAAGACTGAAAAATGGATATTGCTCTGCTATTTCTTCCTTCCCATTTTATCTAAGAGAAGTAATGTCCATAATTACACTGACATCTAAGTCTCTTTCCTTCTATTCTCCTGTTTTCCCCAAGATAACGACCTTACCCTCCTTGGAAAGGGAGAGGGAAAACAACGGGAAGGCGAGGGCTCTGTTCTTCCCGCCAGTGGCCGTGCAGGGCTCTGTTCTTCCCGCCAGTGGCCGTGCAGAGCTCTCTTCTTTGCCGCCTGGATAACTTGGGCGGGGACATTCAGTGCCTGTCTCCAGGGATTCCATCTCTTGTGCTGGTCTAGGGAGAGAATGAAATTCCCTGGAAATTCAAGAAATAGAAATTAATTTCTTGATGAACACTTTCTACTGCAGTGAATTCAT